ATTGGGGTTCTGGCTCAGCGGGGAAACTGCTTCTCCCTCTGCCTTCCACTTCCCCTGCTTGTGTTCTCTTTCTCTATCAAATAAATAAATAAAATCTTGAGCTGAAATGATCCTAGATTATCCGGATGGGCCCCAAATCTAGTTAACAAGTGTCCTTATGAAAGAAGAGAAGACACAGACTCTCAGAGAGGGGAGAAAGCCACGGGAAGATGGAAACAGTGCTGCGAGCTACTCAGTCAGCAGCCAAAGAAAGCCTGATCTCCAGAAGCTGGAAAATACCGGGAATGGATTCTGTTCTAGAATCTTCAGAGGGACAGGGGCCCTGCTGAGCCAGTGATTTCAGACTTCTGGCCTCCCAACCTGGGGTGATAAGTTTCTGCAGCACTAAGCCACCAGGGGTGAGGTAATTCATTGCAGCTGCCACAGGAAGCTAGGAGAACTGTCACCCGGACCGGGACACCTTCCGTGTACGCACCGGTGTCAGTGCTGTGTTAAAACAAATATTACAAATGAACTTCTGGGAGTCGATCCTGAAATACATAAGAAAACATGGAAAAATTTAAATATGTTCATCAGAGTGCAGTTTGGGAAAAGTTGGAAACGATCTGAAGGTCTCACCATGGGGGATCAATTAAAGAGATTATGGAGCAGCCATTTAGAGAATCCCATGTAGCCATTTGAAGAACATCACAGAAATGTAGCTACTGATGTGGAAAGATGTTGCCAATTGGCCTATAGAAAAATACACTACAGTATGATCTCATTTACAAAATACTAAGTCTATATGTTATGTATGAATACATAGAAAAATCTAGACTGGAATGTCAACAGTGGTTTTTCTTGAAAGAGTGGGTGTTTTAGGTTCTTTTGCTTCTCTGGGTTGTCTGTAATTAAGATGTAATTTATAATGATAGTGTAAAGTATTTGCAACAACAACAATAGCAACAACAAAGGCAATGAAAGACGTTTATTTCATCTGGAGGAAGCAAAAACCGTGAAACTTATCATCAGCCACACAATGGGAAATGTTATTTTCCTGTGGAGGATTTAGGGAAATGCGCGTGGGGAGTGGTCAATCCGGCACAGGGGCAGCCTTCATTCCTGGGAGTTCGGAATGATACCAGGCCAGGAGCAAGCTGGGAAGCAGGGGAATGCTAAACTGGACAACTGCAGGACTTGTCAGAACCTTGTATGTGCCAACACCGTGGCAAGTCTCCAAGAGACACGTGGGATGACATTTTCCCTCCCACACCATTGGATCACCAAGCCAGGAACATCTGGTAGTACTCCTGCTCTGAGAAACACAGTGGGGGAAAGCTTGGAACACTCTTTGACAAAAAGCAGTTCAATTAAGTGAAGAGCAAAACTATCCAGATCCGAAAGAGGGAAGAATGTTTCCGGTTTATATATTGCTGAGAAAGGCTGGCTGCTCCCCGTGAGCCCTAAATTGAACACAAGCAGCAGTGTCCTAAAATAATATTAAAAGCCTGGCCAATAAGAACCCAGAGCACGGAGCAGATGGGCTCCTCCCGGCTCTTCGGGCTCCGCATTTTAGAATTCGAGAGAGGGTCCTGAGAATTCCGGCAACCAACACTTGTATAAGAGGCGGTTACATTGTGTGCGAGGGACAGCCCAAGTGAATGCACATCGTCTGGGTCCAAGAGTTTTATTACACAAGAGAAAGGTGCCAGCAAACATCTTGCTTGTGTTGACAGGTGGGGAGAAAAGCAGCCCTTGCCAGAGTGAGGGAGGCGGTGTCCTTCCCAGAGAGCCCTTTACAGACCCCCGTCCCCATGGCAGAGGCCCTCACCTGGCCTTCTTTGTCCTGCCCACGCTGACCAACACCACTACCCTGGACTATTCCTTTTTCTTTCTTTCTTGTCCTCCCCTTCTTTCTTTTCTTCTCCCCTCTGAATGCACCCTTGAGAATCCAGAGATCTGAACACTATTCACAGCCCGACCCGGGGTGCCAGAGGGCTGGAGCGGGGTCACTCCCCAGGCTACACGGGATGCCTGAGGCCCTGGACCAAATGGCACGTGAGGGGACATCCTGTGTCGGGACAACACTCTCGGATTTTCACTTTCTGCCCTGCTCAACCAGACACCCCATGTTCCCTGCGGGGTCCTGGCTGTGTTCCCCTTTCTCCTTCCTGTTCTTTCCTTGGCTCATTTGTTGCTTTCTCTTGGTACAAGACATTTGGAATGAGGGGCAGCCCCACTGCGGTCGGGAAGCTGCTGTTGAGTTTTTTCATGGTTCTTACGCTATGTTTTCTCCCATCCCCCAGGGGCCGAAGGCCTTTGGGAGCCCCAGCCCCAGAGACCTGGACAGCCCATTAACCCTGAAGCTTCCTGCCCTTCACCCACACACTGATTAAGAGAGCCTGAATTAGGGTGAATCTGCATTAAAAACAAAAAAAAAAAAACAAAAAACCCCAAGTAATTTGAGATGTAGAATCCACCCCCTGCTCCCCAGGCCCCAGGCACTTGCTGGCCCAGCTGGACCCCTAGTGTTCCCCTCATACCTGCTCACATCAAGATCTGTTTAGTTGATCATCTCGATAGTTCTCAACTGGGTCCTCTTCATGCTGATGCAGCTGGGCGGATAAAGCCCATATCTTTAGTGAGCGTATAACTAGGACGTCCCTGGAATTGATTATCCAAGTTGGGATACTTTGGTGAGCGAAGGGGACACCATGAATAATTATGTTGAGAGGTAGGCATGCCGTCACCAGGTGGCTGTGTGCCTTCTCTGTGTGTGAGCTCTCTGTGAGCTGGTCCCTTTTTGCCTCTGACCTCCTCTGAAGACTTTCCTCCTGGGACCCCAGCCTGCGCTCCTATTAAAGATCTCAGGCTCCCTGTGCTACTAGAAATTCCATCATGTGCCTTGTTCTCTCTTAACTCCAGGTCACGCTGTTCTCTCTGCCATCTTCACACAGCTCACGCCCTTCCTTCTGGCCTCAACTGAGACATTATATCCTTGGGAAGCCTCCCTTGTCCATTTCCACCCCCATGGGGTTACATCACACCCCCCCCCAGGGATCCACCTACCTCATGGGGGCAGTATTTTTTTGTAATTATCTGTTGACTGGTATGTCTCTTCTCCCAGGAGCCTGGAAGCAGCTTTAGGTTTTGTTCTTGACTACATTTAGGGCCTATCTTGTCTAGTGGGAGGCCAAAACAATCACTCCACAAAAGTTCATCTCTAAAACAGTATATGCAGTCCTGTTAATTACTCCCCAAAGTTCATCATTAAATCCTGACCTCGCATGCCCCAGCCTGGTGAGGGCTGGGCACAGAGATAAAGAGGAGCCTGTCCTCACCCAGCTCTCTTTCCAGGGGGAACCACTCTTCTCGAAGCATCTGCGCTTCAAAGAGGATGTTTCTGCAGCATCTGAGTGCATTTGGACACCTTTCAAGCATTAAGCATTTTTTTCAAAAGGGCCGCAACAACAACAAAGACAAGACTTGGACAAGAGCCATGCGACCCAGCAGCTAATCATGGCGTCTCTGCTGCCTGACCGCCATTATGTCCCCGGCCTGCTACCTTCTGGACCAGTTACTTACGTTCTCTGAGCTTCAGTCTCCACCTCGGGGATGGGGAGAACAACAACTGTGCCTGGTACACAGTAACCACTCGGTAGCTGTTATTGCCAATAGACAGTTTGGCCCAAGGGCTGCCGCGCTCGCCAGGGACCCTCCTGGGGAGGTCACGAGCCCCCAAAGGGGACCCGCAGTCTTGTTAGGAGCCTTTGCAACACGATGTGTAGGCCAGTCTCGTCTCTCTGTTCGGCTGTTGTAGAGAAACATCTGGAGGGTCGGGGCCAGCTGGAAATAGCTTTAGGTTTGGACAACAGCCACTCTCAAGGTCTGTCCCAACCAGAGCAATCTTGGCAATCAACTTGGGACAAAATACATAGCAATACAGCAGGAGAGACCGGGCATCGCGGGGAGACCAGCACAGAGAGCAGAGAGGACCCTTTGCATCTGAGATTTTCTGAAGATTAAAGGAAGCTCATTTTATTTATTTTTTAAAAGATTCTATTTATCTGTTGGACAAACAGAGATCACAAGTAGGCAGAGAGGCAGGCAGAGAGAAAGGAAGAAGCAGGCTCCCCGCTGAGCAGAGAGCCTGTTGTGGGGCTGGATCCCAGGACCCTGGGACCATGACCTGAGCCAAAGGCAGAGGCTTTAACCCACTGAGCCTCCCAGGTGCCCCTAAAGGAAGCTCATTTTAAAATTTGTTTTGGAGGTCCTGCCTGCTCCCTGCCACTCACTATCAATCAGCGGTTACTCATGAGCAGGATTTCTGCACTATTTTTGTACCAAGAACGAGAGTAATTTTGATGTAGAAGCTCCAAATAGTGGATGAGCAAAGTAGAGAAGACTCGGGAGTTGAATTTGCTAAAATACCCATTTGCTGTTGACTGAGTTGCATTTAAATGGGCTCTCCTTGGGGAGTGGAGGGATGGGGAGCTGGGGGATGGACCCTGGGGAGGGCATGTGTTGTCATGAGCCCTGGGTATTCTAGAAGACTGACGAATCACACACCTGTGCCTCTGAAACCATTAATACATTTTTAAAGATGGCCTCTTCTTCTGGGGGTGGGGCGCTTTCCAGTTGGCACGGCACGTTCACAGAGTGCCAAGTGCGGGCTGGTGACCCAGGCAGGTGAGTGGTCCTGAGCGTCTGCAGAGTGTACTCCTTGCTGTAAAACCCGCCCGCCGAGGTCCTCCCCAGGAGCAGACGGGGCAGTCTTTGAAGGAATGTGCATCAGCCCAGCTCGTCTGCTCTTTGGGTCATTGCGGTGTCGCCTCTGTCAGGCCTTTTCCCCGCACCGTGGGTTCAGCTCTGGTCAAGGAGGCGGCTCTCCCGGCCCTCTTGTTGCTCCCCGAAGGGGCACAGAGACATGAGAACTGAATACAGGCGCACGGGTGCTGCGCACCTCAGCTGAGGGTCTTCCCGGTGGCGTCCTGCTCTGGGAGGCGGCTGGGGAGCAGCACCGGGGAGAGGAGATGCCTGAGGAAGAGGCGGGTGAGGGAACCAGGGAGATTCTGACCGGGAGGATGTGGGCCCCTGAGTGTGTGTGTCCACAGCTGTCTAAAACTCTTCTTGCCCCTTGTTGATGCCCACAGCTTACCTTTCCGTCCAGACGTGCCTGGACCTTCCGTCCAGGACACTTTCCTGCCCATCCGGGTCTGTGTTGGCAACACTGCCTGGTGCCCGCTTGGTCCCCTGAGCTCATGGGTCTCAGGCCTGAGCGCCCCCGAGCTCTGCCCCTGCTCCCCTGCTGGCCTCCTGAGATGCATGTGGTTGCATAAGGAGAGCCTCCCATATTCACCCCTGTATCCCTAGCTCAGCACAGGCCCAGCAGGTGATGGTCATTCGTCGTCGAGTATCAGTTCCATGAAGCAAAGAAGGATAGGAAGAGTGATGGGGAGGGGAAGGGGGAGGAGGGGAGAGGTGGAAGGGCAGGAGGAGGGAGAAGAAAGTCGTGGGGGAGAGGAGGAGGAGAAAGGGAGGAAGAGAGGGGGGAGGTGGAGGAGAGGGAAGGGATGAGGAGGGGGAGGGTGAGAAGGGGAAGAGTGGGAGGGGAGGAGAGGAAGGGAGAGAAGGGGAGGAGGGGAAGAGGTGGTTGAGGAGGGGGAAGGGAGGAAGAGGTGGGGAAGAGGCGGGAGGAGGAGGAGGGGAGAAGGGGAAGAGGATGAAAGAAGAGGGGGAGGGGAGAAGGGATTAGGTGGAAAGGGAGGGGGAAGGAGAAGGGAGGAAGGGGGAGGAGGCTGCAACATGGACTAAAGATAAAGGATGAAACTTGAGACTCCAATTTGTTTTGCCCAAGAGCCCTGAGCAGTGTTGAAGGACCCTGGCTATCTAAAGAAAGCATGTGGGTTGCAAGAGCTAGACCTTTATCCCAGTTTCGCCATCAATCCTCATTTGACTTTGGGCAGTTTAATAGAATTCCTGAAGCTTCTTTTTTTTTTTTTTTTTTTTTTTGTTTTTGTTTTCCCCAGATTTCCAATGAGGACAACTCCAGGAATTTACAGATGTGTGCTGGAGTTCAAGTAAGATGTGGGTAACGTAGCTATAAAACTCGGTGCATGTTGCAAATTGCAAAAAAAAAAAAAAATTGCATATAAGTTTAGAATAAAGTGAATTTTCTTTTAAAGATTTTATTTATTTATTTGACAGAGATCACAAGTAGGCAGAGAGGCAGGCAGAGAGAGAGGAGGAAGCAGGCTCCCTGCTGAGCAGAGAGCCAGACATGGGGCTCAATCCCAGGACCCCAGGATCATGACCCAAGCCAAAGGCAGAGGCTTTAACCCACTGAGCCACCCAGGTGCCCCTAGAATAAAGTGAATTTTATAAAGAACCTCAGAAGTCAAACTGGTAGCTCAGGGACAGAAGTTCCATCTATCCCCTAAAGGAGCTGACCAAGTGCACTTATTCTTGCCTTTAGCATTTCCTGGGTGAGTCACATGATGTCTGAGATCCCCAAGGCATTGAGAGTCCCGACTGCCCAATGGGAAGGGGATGCAGGAAGAGCAGACGCCATGTTTCCCTTGACTTGACCTCTCAGCCAGAAACATGCGAAACACACTCTACTGGACTCCCTGAAATCCTCACTTGTAAGCATTTACAGCATCATGGGTGTAGGAACAATTTCACAAAAAGAAAACTATCAGCACAGATTCTAGGTTATCACCAACACACACAAAATTGGAACCAGAAGAACTTGATATCAAGACAATGATATTCGTCCCCACCCTCCTGTCCCTTCTTCCAGATCTTTCCCTCTCTGACAAATCTCATTTCCACTTCAACCCTTTCTCTGTAGAAGACTGACCTTGCCTCCCACGTCACAGAGAAAACAGAGGCCAAAAAGCAGGGGCTTTCGAAGCTTCCTGTGGCCCACCATCCACCCCACCCACAATGCAGTGCCTTGTCTCCACATTCACCCCTCCCACCCCCCACTTCACGAGAGGACATGTGGTCTTCTCCGTATGATCTTCATTCTTCCACCTCTGTTTGGAATCTTACCCAGTCTCCTGCAGAATTCCATTCTATCAAAGAAACCTTTTCCTCTGTCTTCCGCCTCTCCTTCTCTACTTGGTGTTTCTGCTCAGACTACCAAGTGAACCCACACAGCACTCTAAGTATTGCTCTGTTTTTCTCTTTCCCTCAGGAGCCACACTTCTGTTATTTGCTTCTTGGTCTTCCATGTCTTCTTTTTGCTCCTTAACCCACTATCATTTGTCTTCTGCCCCCATCACTCCACAGAAATTGCTTTCACTGAGGTCAACTCTTTCCTGTTCCTCCATATCTCTGGTTTCCCGAAAACTACTGCCTCCTGTTTCTCCTCATACCCCTCCTCAGGTCTATGTGTGGGTTGCACATCCTTCACCCTCCCCTTACCTGAAAGACTTTCCCAGGGCTCTGTGTTCAGACTTGTTCTCACTCTACACACTCTGCTTTGGGGATCTCTCCTTCCGTGTGACAGTTGCCATCTGTACTGGGTTGAATAGTTTTGCCACCAAATTTATCCCTTCCCCAGAACCTCAGAGTGTGACCTTATTTGGAAATGGGGCTGTTGTTGATATACTTAGTTAAGGTGAGATCATACTGGAGTAGGGTGGTGTTCTCATAAAAAGAGGGAAAAGAGGCACCTGGGTGGCTCAGAGGGTTAAAGCCTCTGCCTTCGGCTCAGGTCATGATCCCAGGGTCCTGGGATTGAATCCTGCATCGGGCTTTCTGCTCAGCAGGGAGCCTGCTTCCCTTCCTCTCTCTCTGCCTCCCTCTCTGCCTACTTGTGATCTCTGTCTGTCAAATAAATAAATAAAAATTAAAAAAAAAAAAGAGGAAAAAAGACACAGAGATGGACACAGGGAGAACCCCGTGTGACAGTGGAGGCAGAGACTGGGGTTGTGTGACTTCAAGCCAAGGACCATCAAGGTTGGTGACACCATCAGAGGCACAAGGAGGCAAGAAGGGATGCTTCCCTAGAGCGTTCAGAGAGAGCATGGACTGCCACATCTTGATTTCAGACGTTTGGCCTCCAGAAATCAACGTATCAGTGGTGCTGGAGTCTCTCTGAAGGTTCTACGGTAGGATCCTTTTTTGCCTCTTCCCAGCTCTGGTGGTTGCTGGCGATCCTTCGCTCGCAGGTGTGTCACTCCAATCTGATCGTTGCTTTCATCATCACATGATGTTCTTCCTGGTTGTCTGTTTCCAAATTTTCCTTTTCTTATAAGAACACCAGTTATATTCAGTTAGAGACCACCCTAATCCAGTCTGACCTCATCTTAACTCAATTACATCTGCAAAGACCCTGTTTCCAAATAAGGTCACACACATAGGTTCCAGGTGGACGTGAAGTTTTTGGAGGAAACTGTTTAACTCAGCACAGTGACTTTTGGATACAAATCCTTCTCTATCTTTTGAATTGTGCATGTTAAATGTATTACTAGCCACTCACTAGGCACCTGATGCCTTTTGATACGTGTATCGTGACCTTATTACAGAAGATTCAAAATCCCTAAAGCGAAGCACAGCATCAAGAACCAGGTGCCCAGCCCCAGGACTGCCTCCCCTTCTCTTTGGGCCATCACTGCAATAACTCCCAAGACCCTAAATTCCCAAGGGCAGGGGCCCTCTGTTTCCTGCCCCCAAACCCCAGCATCTGGCTCTCGGTCAGCATTTGTTAAAGAATGAATATGTGGATGGGAAAAATATTTTTTTTTAGATTTTAATGCCAAGAATCATTTTGACTACTGGCCTATTTAGGCATAAAGAATGGTAAACAAGGGGCACCTGGGTAGCTCATTCGGTTAAGTGTCTGAGTCTTGTTCTCAGTTCAGGTCTTGATTTCAGGGTCGTGAGCTCAAGCCCTGTGTTGGGCTCCATGCTGGGTATAAAGCCTACATAAAAAAAAAAAGAAGAAGAAGAAAGAAGAAAGAAGAAGAAAGAAGAAAGAAGAAGGAAGAAGAAGAAGAAGAAGAAGAAGAAGAAGAAGAAGAAGAAGAAGAAGAAGAA